TAAAATTGGTTGTAAAGATTTAAAAAATTCCAGAAATTTCAAAGATTCTAGCTATGCTAAAAATTGTAGATAATTTAGAGATTCTACATGTGGTACAAATCTTAGAGTGTAGAAATTCCAGTTATTCTGGAGATTTTAATGACTGTCGGATTCTAAAGATAATGAAGATTCGGGAAATTCTAGAAATTCTTATGCCTCTAGAGATTTTAGAGATTCTGGAGATGTTAAAGATTCTAAGAATTCCAAGAAATCCAAAGTTTTACAGTTTGGCGATTGCAGCAATTCTAGAGATTCTGAAGATTCTAGAAATTCTACAGGTTTTAGAGATTCCTGAGAATCAGCAGATTCTAAAGATTTCAGAGATTTTAAACATTAAAAAAATTCCAAACGTTTTAGAGTCTAGCGATTCCAGCAATTGTAGAGATTCTTAAAACTCAAAAAATTTTACAGGTTCTAGAGATTTTGGAGATGTTCAAGATTGTGGAAATTCTAAAGTTGCCGGAAACTACTATTTGAGAATCTTCAGAATGACTAGAATTTTTAGAATATCTAGAATATTTAGCACCTCTAGAATTTTCAGAACCTCAAGAATCTCTAGATTCTAAAATTCTAGGAGTTGTAAAAATACTAGAGATTCTAAAAAAACTAGAAATAATGCAAACAAAAACGCCAAAAAGACGAATAAAAAGTTTATATCGAATTTTTTTTTAATCTTAAAAATTATGACATTTCAATGAGCGATTTCCAGAATCGATGACAAAATTGCCGTATTTCAATTCGAGATTCGGAAAAATCGTAGGAGTTATCGAAGAAATGAGGCCGAAACCAACTTCTGGAGATCGAAATGTATAAGAAAATGTCTTCAGTTAAAATTGATAAAAATTTGCCGAAATTTTCATAATGGAAAATTTTGAAATTGAAAAAGTTGCCAAAAAATTCTGTGGTAATTAAAAAAAAATTGCGATTTATGCTCCCGGTGCAAGATTTAATAATATTGAGTTTGAAAATGATCCCAAAAAATGCTTCAAAAAATGGATAATAGGAAGAGAAACAAAAAAAATAGTGACCAAAAAAATGAAGAATACAAAAAAATGGTGACAAGAAAAAAGGCGATAAAAACAACAAAAAATAAGTACTTCCAAAAATTCAAACAAAAAAGCGATAAAATGGACGATATAAAGAGAAAAAAAAAAATGTCAAAACAACTAGAAAAAATACAAACAAAAAACGCCAAAAAGACGAATAAAAAATTTATATTGAACATAGAGATTGTGAAGATTTCAGACGTTCTAAAGATTCTAATAATTCTACAAATTCTAGTAGATTTAGAGATTCTGGAAATCGTAGAAATTGTAGTTTTAAAGATTCTAAAGGTTTCTAAGAGATCCTTGGCTTTCTGGAGATTCTAAAAATTCTAAATATTTTAAAGATTCCGTAGAATCTAGAAATTCAGTGTCCAAAAATTCTAGTAATTCTAGAAATTGTGAGGACTTTAGAGATTCTGGAGATTGTATAAAATTTAGAATCTAGAGATTTTAACAATTCCAAAGATTTTAAGATTATAGAGATTCTGAAGATTCCAGACGTTCTAAAATTCTAGAGATTTCATAGGATCCAGAAGTTGAGAGTTTCCAGAGATTCCAAGGTTCTAGTAATTCTAAAAATTGTAGAATATTAGAGATTTTAGATACTGCACAATTTTAGAATTTAGTGATTGTAGCGATTCTAGAGATTTTAAATATTCTAGAAATTCCAAAGTTTCTAAAGATTCTATATTTTCTAAAGGTTCGGAGAATTCTAAAGAATCTCTAGAATCTAAAGATCCTAGAAAACTGGAGGTTTTAGAAATTCTAAAGATTTCACAGATTCCTAAAATTGATTGTAAGGTTTAAAAAATTCCAGAAATTTCAAAGTTTATTTATTAAATTTAGAGTAGCAGTTCCAATTATTCTGGAGATTTTAAAGATATTGAAGGTTCGTGAAATTCTAGAAATTCTAAAAATTCTAGAAATTCCTATGCGTTTAGAGATTTTAGGGATTCTGAAGATGCTAAAAAATTCCAAGGATTCCAAGAAATCCAAATTTTTAGAGTTTTCGATTACAGCAATTCTAGAGATTCTGGAGATTCTAGGAATTCTACAGGTTTTAGATTTTCTTGAGAATCAGCAGATTCTAAAGATGCTAGAGATTTTAAACATTAAAAAAATTCTAAAAGTTGAGAGTCTGGAGGTTCCAACAATTGTAGAGGTTCTTAAAATTCGGAAAATTTTACAAATTCTAGAGATTTGAAAGATTTTCAAGATTGTGGAAATTCTAAAGTTGCCGGAAACTACTTACTATTCGAGAATCTTCAGAATGACTAGAATTTTTAGAATATCTAGAATACTTAGCACCTCTAGAATTTTCAGAACTTCTAAAGAATTTCCAACCTCAAGAATCTCTAGATTCTAAAAAAACTAGTAAAAATACAAACAAAAAACGCCAAAAAAAAACGAATAAAAAGTTTATATTGAAGTTTTTTTTCTTTTTAATCTTAAAAATTACGACAATTCAATGAGCGATTTCCAGAATCGATGACAAAAAATGATGACAAGAAAAAAAATGACAAAAAAATACAAAAAACGAACAAAAATGAAGGACAAAAAAGCTACAAAAAAGTGTCCAGGACAATTCGAACAAAAAAATCGGCCAAAAAGAGCCAAAAAGCAATAAAAATGGAAGGGAAAACAAAATGACGAAAAAAGGGTAAAAAAATTTATATAAAGGGGAAACTCATACATAATAAAAAAAACAAGTGATAATAAGAGAAAAACAACAAAAAAGGCGTCAAACGAGTCGGAAAAAGCGACATAAGTGCGAAAAAAAAAGCGAAAAATATAAGACGAATAAAAAAGCAATGGGCGGGCAAAATGATAAAAAAGTAGCAAACGAGGAGCCAAAGAAAAGGAGAAAAAAGGCGACAAAAAATACAAACAAAAATCACCAAGAAAACGAATAAAATTTTGAATTTTTTTTTTTAAAAGGCCAAAGTAACTTTTAGAAGTCGAAATGTATAAGAAAATAATTTTGGACAATTTTCGAAAATAATGGAAAAACTCAAAATTTTCATAGAGATTTTGAAAAAATTGACTAAAAATTCTAAAACATAGATCTCGACGTGCTAATTCGAAAAATATAGCGATTTTATGGTCTAGGACCAAGATTTTAGAAATATTTGGTTTGAAATTCAATTTTTTAGGAAATGCTGAAAATCGTAGGAATTATCGAAAAAATGAGGCCTAAACCAACTCTGGAGATCGAAATGTATAACAAAATATCTTTAGTTAATTTACAAAAATTGACAAAAATTCGTCGAAATTTACATATGAAAAATTTTGAATTTGAAAAAGTTGGAAGAAAATTTCGGAATATAGATTTCGTCATGCGTTCAAATCTGAAAACGTATTTTTTCAAATCCAAATAAAAGAGAAAAAAAGGCGACAAAAAATTGGCGTCAAAAAAAGGGCTGATTCGAAAAATATAGCATTTTTATAGTTTCGGACCAAGATTGTAAAAATATTTGGCTAAAAAATAATTTTAAAAAAATACTAAAAATTGACATATTTCAATTCGAGATTCTGGAGAAATCGTAGGAATTATCAAAGAAATGAAACTTTTGGAGATCGAAATCTATAAGAAAATGTCTTTCGTTAAATTACGAAAATTGTCAAAAATTTGCGGAAATTTTCATACCGAAAAATTTTGAATTTGAAAAAGTTGTAAAAAAATTACCAAAAAATGCTTCAAAAAAAAGGACAAAACACCTCCAAAAAAGGTCATGGAAAGGGAGACAAAAAAAATGATGACCAGAAAAATAAAGAATACAAAAAATTGCAACAAAAAAAAATAAAACACCTTCAGATGATTAAGTCTTCCAATTTTTAAAATTGAAATTAATGCAACTATTTTCCCGTACATTTCTGCAATTTGTCTTTGAAAAAATATGATGCCAACGAACGGAGTCATCACGATTAAAATTTGTTGGCCGAAGTCCGACACCGCAAAATTAATTGTAACAGAGACAAAGTGCAATTTTGTTAGTTGCAGCGTCTAAAAATACAATCGTCCGCATTCTTGACGCACTTAACAAAAATAATGCAAACACTCCATCTCAACATCCCGTCAAACCCGGCTTTTACCCGCGATATAGACGTCGACACCTTAATCCCACCTTCTCGTCAAATAAAACTCAAAAGCCGGCCGCCCCCATTAATTTTCGCAACCCCGAAATCCCGCCGGCCTCGTTCGCCGTCCCCGGCCGCCCCCATTATCCCTCGCAAGCAAACACCTCTCCCGAGTTATTTATTTTATAAATTTATAATGACCTTTCAGCGCCAACATTAAAAATAAACAGAACGAATGGCCGATTATCTCCGGAAAAAATCGCCGCTCAAAACGTGAAAAATCGTTCGGGAAAAATCGCTACACCGTCCATAAATCGTCCTCTCGAACGCGAAACTCATAAAATGGAACGAATTATAGTCAGTATATGTCAGGAGCGAAAAATAAAAACGCACGTCTTTCGTCTGTTATTCAAATAGTTGTTAAAGTCAGTGGCGTCCAAAAATACGTATCAACCAGTAAAACGATATTTTATAGATATAAATAAACCCAACTTTGTAAATTGTATCATTACAAGATCTGTCCTGTCAAAGCCATCTAGATGCCGGCTGGACGCTTTTAGACCCGTTCGGAGCGCCGTCGCGACCGAGCGGCACACCGGCGCGGCCTGCTAGATCCTAACGCCGCGGTCGCGCGAGCCGCTCCCGGAAACCGCGCACCGACTCCTGATTTATGCGAACTATTAAAATAATGAGGTGTATAAAAATAAATATCCAGATACACAAAGTTCAGGTGTTATTTGAAGTAGTACAAAGTGAAATGATTTGTAAAGACGCCATTGCCTGGGTGGCACAAGATGGCGGCTCGCTGTCATTTTTTCAAACGTCATCTCTTTGCAGGCTTCGACGTCGCCAGCACCGCCTCCAGCCTGGATTGCCTCAACCTCATCGTCCAGAGCATAACGAGCAAGAAGGTCGAGAGCAACGAGCCCACGTGACTTCGGCCGACGTCACGTGACTATTTATTTCGAGGATTACGAGTACAACGTATTTTTAAGTTGAATAAAGTCGTTTTATGGGTAACCGTTGTGTGATTAATGAGCTGTTTTATTCCCGAGTCCAAACTTCCGTTTAAATTTTCGGAAGTTGAGTTATTTGTTGTGATTTATTAGGGGGCTAATGCACGGTTATGTAAACCGATTCTGACGTTTCATATTTTACGAGATAAGGCGGCTGGGGAAGTTCGGCGACGCTCCGGAGAAAAAGGTGAGTCGGCGTTGGCTGGTGATAAGCGGAGACGAACAACGGAGAATAATAAGATATTTCAGTCGATGTTCCGCTACTATTAAATCAAGTTGGCGGCTTACGAAATTTCGGAGAAGGCAGATTGTGAGATCTGAGACAATCGTAAATATCATAATTTTGAAGGCTGGGGGTCACATTGGTCGACGAAATTTAGTTGTGACGTCATCGATAATGTTGTAGCAGAACTGCGGCGAAAGCAATGTCCGGTGTATAAACTGCGATCAAATTTCTTTATTCCAAGGTTTTGCTCTGTGCATTTTCTGTTGACGTAAGTGATTCAAAAAGATGGGGTTATATAATTTTCTGGTCGAAAATTTATGTACTTGTTGCATATTTCATGACACTTTTCTGTGATTGTAAATTTTCGTGATGTTTTCTTCTGATTTCTTTAACTGTGACTAAAAGGGATGATTCAAAATCATTTATATCTCGAAATTAGAAATATATTTTGCATCTGGGGCTTGTAAGTTGTTTTATTTTATTTGTAGTCAATGTTTTAGCCCTTTTTAGGTATAGACGACAAAAAAAAAAGAAATGCAACTAATAGTCGGGAGTGAAAAATGTTTACAAAAAAGGTCACAAAAAAAACACTAAAAAACAAGGCAACACAAACAAACGACGAAAAAATCAAGAACAAACAATTAAAACTAAAAAAAGTGACAAAAAAAATAAAAATAAACACAAAAACAATAAAATTTCCCAAAAAAATGCAACAAAGAAAGAACAGACAGTGCGTAAAAATGCGAGAGTAAAGAACAAAAATTCCCTGAATATAACAAAAGGTCACTACACAAATAAACAGAACAAGAAAAGGGTGTCAAAAAAGGTCCCGAGGCCAAAAGGCGTTTATACTCAAATCCTCAGAACATCATAATCCTCAAATTCTCAGAATACCAGAATTCACAAATTCCCAAAACAACCGAATTCAAAAATCCTCAGGACACCAAAAACCCCAAATCCTTAAATTCTCAGAACACGAGAATCCTCAAATTCTCTTAACATCAAAATCCTCAAATCCTCAGAACACCAAAATTCTCAAATCCTCAGAACATCATATTCCTTAAATCCTCAGAACACGAGAATTCTTAAATCCTCTAACACCAAAATCCTAAAATCTTTAGAAAACCGGAATCTTCAAATCCTCAGAACATCAGAATCCTAAAATCCTCAGATCACCAGAATCCTCAAATCCTCAGAACACCAGAATCCTCAAATCGTCGGAACATCATAATCCTCAAATACACAGAACGCTTGAAACCGCAAATCCTCAGGACACCAAAATCCTCAAATCCCCAGAAGACCAGAATCCTCCAATCCTCAGAACATCATAATCCTCAAAATCTCAGAACACCAGAATTCACAAATCCTCACAACAACCGAATTCAAAAATCCTCAGAACACCAAAAACCCCAAATCTTCAAAGTCTCAGAACACGAGAAACCTCAAATCCTCTTAACATCAAACTCCTCAAATCCTCAGAACACCATAATCCTCAAAACCCCAGAACATCATATTCCTCAAATCCTCAGAACACGAGAATTCTTAAATCCTCTTAACACCAAAATCCTAAAATCTTCAGAATACCGGAATCTTCAAATCCTCAGAACCTCAGAACCTTAAAATCCTCAGATCACCAGAATCTTCAAATCCTCAGAACACCAGAATCCTCAAATCCTCAGAAACTAACTCTGGAGATCGAAATTTATAACAAAATGTGTTTAGTTAATTTACAAAAATTGACAAAAATTTGTTAAATTTACACTGAAAATTTTGAATTTGAAAAAGTTGTCAAAAAATTTCGGAATATAGATTTCGTCGTGCGTTCAAGAAGTAGGGAGTGAAGACTTAAAAATATTAAATCTGAAAATGTATTTTTTAAATCCAAATAAAAGAGAAAAAAAGGCGACAAAAAAAAGGCTACAAAAAAATGCAAAAAAAACAAGAAATAAAGTACTTCAAAAATGCAAAGAAAAAAGCGATATAAAGAGGAAACAAATAAAAAATGACAAAAAACACAAAAAATGCAAACAAAAAGCGCCAAAAAGAACGAATAAAAAATTTGTGTTGATTTTTTTTTATTCTTAAAAATTGCGATCTTTCACTGTGCGATTCTGAAAAAATGGTAGAAATTATCGAAAAATGAGGTCTAAGTAAATTCTAGAAGTGGAAATCTACAAGAAAATGTCTTTTGATAATTTTCGAAAATAGTCGAAAAATTCAAAATTTTCGTAAAATTTTTGAAAAAGTTGCCTAAAATCCACAAAGAATTCTCGACGTGCTGATTCGAAAAATATAGCATTTTTATGGTCTCGAACCAAGATTTTTAAAATATTTAGTTTGAAATTTAAGTTAAAAAAAAGTTAAAAATTGGCATGTTTCAATTCGAGATTCTGGAAAAATCGATTATCGAAGAAATGAAAAGAATCCTCAAATCCTCAAAACACCAGGATACAATAATCCTTAAATCCTCAGAACAATTCCTCAAATCCTCAGAATACCAGAATCCTGAGGATTTGAGGATTTTCTAGTGAATTCGCAAATCCTCAGAACACCATAATCCTCAAAATCCTCTGAAAATTCGTATTTCGAACTTCAAACTTCGAATTTGCAATTTCGAATTTTTAATTTTTAATTCTCAATTCTCAAATCTCAATTCCCAATTCCCAATTCCCAATTCTCAATCCCAAATTCCCAATTCCGAATTCCCAATTCCGAATTCCGAATTCCCAATTCTCAATTCTCAATTTTCAAATCTCAATTCTCATTCTAATTCGTAATTCTTAATTCTTAATTCTTAATTCTTAATTCTTAATTCTTAATTCTTAATTCTTAATTCTTAATTCTTAATTCTTAATTCTTAATTCTTAATTCTTAATTCTTAATTTTTAATTTTTAATTTTTAATTTTTAATTTTTAATTTTTAATTTTCAATTTTTAATTTTTAATTATGAATTTTGAACTTTGAATTTTGATTTTTCAATCTCCAGTCTTCAGTTTTCAGCCTTCAATTCTTCAGTTTTTCGGTCTTCAGTTCTTCAGTCCTCAGTTCTTCAATCTTCAGTTCTTCAGTCTTCAGTTCTTCAATCTTCAGTTCTGCATATTTCAGTTCTTCAGTCTTCAGTTCTTCAGTCTTCAGTCTTGCGTCTTCAGTTTTCAGAGTTCAGTCTTCAGTCTGCAGTTTTCAGTTTTCAGTCTTCAGTTTTTAATCTTCAATTTTCAGTTTTCAGTCTTCAGTTTTTAATCTTCAATTTTCAGTTTTCAGTCTTCAGTTTTTCAGTTTTCATTTCTTCAGGTTTCAGTTCTTTAGTCTTCAGTTCTTCAGTTCTTCAGTCTCCAGTTCTTTAGTCTTCAGCTCTTCAGTTTTCAGTTCTTCAGTAATTTTTCGTTTTTCCAATCCCAAGTCCCAACTCCCAATTCCCAACTCCCAACTCCCAACTCCCAACTCCCAAATCACAATTCTCAATTCCCAATTCCCAATTCCCAATTCTCAATTCTCAATTCCCAATTCTCAATTCTCAATTCCCAATTTCCAATTCCCAATTTCCAATTCCCAATTCCCAATTCCCAATTCCCAATTCCCAATTCCCAATTCTCAACTCTCAATTCTCAATTCTCAATTCCCAATTCCCAATTCCCAATTCCCAATTCCCAATTCTCAATTCTCAATTTTCAATTCCCAATTCCCAATTCCCAATTCCCAATTCTCAATTCTCAATTCCCAATTCCCAATTCCCAATTCTCAATTCTCAATTCTCAATTTCCAATTCCGAATTTTAATTTTTAATTATGAATTTTGATTTTTCAATCTCCAGTCTTCAGTCTTCATTTCTTCAGGTTTCGGTTCTTCTATCTTCAGTTTTTCAGTCTTCAGTTTTTCAGTTTTCATTTCTTCAGGTTTCAGTTCTTTAGTCTTCAGTTCTTCAGTTCTTCAGTCTCCAGTTCTTTAGTCTTCAGCTCTTCAGTTTTCAGTTCTTCAGTAATTTTTCGTTTTTCCAATCCCAAGTCCCAACTCCCAATTCCCAACTCCCAACTCCCAACTCCCAACTCGCAATTCTCAATTCCCAATTCCCAATTCCCAATTCCCAATTCTCAATTCTCAATTCCCAATTCTCAATTCCCAATTCCCAATTCCCAATTCTCAATTCCCAATTCCCAATTCCCAATTCCCAATTCCCAATTCCCAACTCTCAATCCCCAATTCTCAATTCTCAATTCCCAATTCCCAATTCCCAATTCCCAATTCCCAATTCCCAATTCTCAATTCTCAATTTTCAATTCCCAATTCCCAATTCTCAATTCTCAATTCTCAATTCCCAATTCCCAATTCTCAATTCTCAATTTCCAATTCCGAATTTTAATTTTTAATTATGAATTTTGATTTTTCAATCTCCAGTCTTCGGTCTTCAGTCTTCCATCTTCAATCTTCAGCCTTCAGCGTTCAGTCTTGAGTCTTCAATTTTCAATTTTCAATGTTCAGTCTTCAGTCTTCATTTCTTCAGGTTTCGGTTCTTCTATCTTCAGTTTTTCAGTCTTCAGTTCTTCAGTCTTCAGTTCTTCAGTCTTCAGTTCTTCAGTCTTCAGTTCTTCAGTCTTCAGTTATTCAGTCTGCAGTCTTCAGTTATTCAGTTCTTCAGTCTCCAGTTCTTTAGTGTTCAGTTCTTCAGTTTTCAGTTTTTCAGTCTTCAGTTCTTCAGTCTTCAGTTATTCAGTCTGCAGTCTTCAGTTATTCAGTTCTTCAGTCTCCAGTTCTTTAGTGTTCAGTTCTTC